TTGAAAATGTTGTGATATTCATCAACTACAGCTTTCATAGGAAGTAGCCTTTCCTAGGTAAAATTGTAAAGTACAGTGAGTGCTCTGTTATTAAATACATTAAGTACTGATAACTGTTTGGTTGATAAATAAATAATAAACCACAGCCCAGCTCCAGTGTTGCAGTGGTAGCACAATACTATAGTGCTGGAAGCCATACTGAAGATCTAGGTTCAATTCCCGGGGCAACTTGTACATGGTGGGATTGTGCACACACATATCCATGATCCTGAAAGGCTGGCAGGAATAAAATGCTGGAGACATGCACAACGGAGGTAAGATGCAGCAGCATCCCATGATACAATACTCAGAAAAGTAGTAACACAATCAATAAATGGGATCCATGGAGGCTAATGGGCCCTCCTTTCCCATCCCTAAATAAAAACAAAAAGCTCTCTTCATTTCTGCTCTGAGACAAAGCACTGGAGATAAACAAGAATGAAAATGGGAGAAGCGCTGAAGAAGTTACGCTTTGGAGGGAGAAAGCGTATGCAAGGGGAGAAGAGTGCAGGAAATGTGGCCTCCGCTATTCTACTGCTATTCCATCCCTCCTTGGATTAGAGGAAAACAAAAGCAATTCAAACCATGTTTCTCTAATTGTCCCAAAAAGTAATGGACATACTTTATACCCACACAAAAACTGGTATAAAACTTGTATCAAAGGCCTTGCACCCTGATGATGGTAATAGCAAACACATTAGTACTTACCATGTGTCAGGTATGATTCAAAGTGCTTTAAATGTTACAAGTAATTTAATCCCCACAATCACCCTGTGAGATGTGTGTTTTTATAATTCCCATCTTTGATGTCGTTGCTGAGGCACAAGATGGTTAAGTGTCTTGCCCAATTTCACACAGCTAATGATGGTGGAAATGGAATTAAAAACCGGGCAGACTGACTCCAGTTTACACACTCCTAACCATTGTGATATAAATGATGTATTACGTTTACTTGTGCCACTAGAAGTGAGTATTGGCATCAAACCATCTTTCAGCATATAAAGTACTCCAGGCATTGGACAGAGAATCAAGGTAAAGAATGGAAAAAAGCAACAAGAAAGTCGATCTTGGAACAACTGGGTTATCAGGGATATTTTTGAGGAAGTAACTTTAACACGAGAGAAAAATTAACCCAATAGTAGAGGAAAATACCTTATCATACCGGTAAGAACATACAGAACTGGCAACTAAATTAACTTAAATGTTGAGATCTAAACTGAATGTATTCTTTTTTTTTTTGAGAGGTTTTTGCTATAGGGCACGTGCACTTGCCAGACAGAGAGACAGAAAGCAAGAAATCATCCCCCAGGGGGAATGGCCACGCCGCATTCCCTTCTCCTCCATTCTCCTCTCGGGATCTTGGACACGCGTGCACACACGCCTGGCATGAGTTTTAAGTCGCCGGGTCCAGGACGCGAACCACAGCCAACCACATAAGAGTCCAGCGACTAAATTAACTTAAATGTTGAGATCTAAACTGAATGTATTCTTTTTTTTTTTGAGAGGTTTTTGCTATAGGGCATGTGCACTTGCCAGACAGAGAGACAGAAAGCAAGAAATCATCCCCCAGGGGGAATGGCCACGCCGCATTCCCTTCTCCTCCATTCTCCTCTCGGGATCTTGGACACGCGTGCACACACGCCTGGCATGAGTTTTAAGTCGCCGGGTCCAGGACGCGAACCACAGCCAACCACATAAGAGTCCAGCGACATAGCCATTACACTAACTGCTGATCCCTTTAAACTGAATGTATTCTGATCATAAATCTTGGACCTTTGTAAATACTTCCATTCAATAGATGAATATATACAATTTAAAAATTAAAGCAGTCATGCTACAACCATTTTTTTAACCACACCACTAGAAATATAGCCACTCGTCACTTAACCACCTGCCCCTTTATCCAGGCTCAGACTTATGAACAGGTCTCCAGCTCAGGGAATTCCTTTTCTCAGTCTTTGTCTCGTTCCTACAGTCGATTAGTATTTACTACACAGGAAATTCACAATCACACAAGGCTACGTATTTTGTTCATAAATCTGTACTCGATTGTGTACCCATAGTAGTATTTAGAGTGGATAAAAATGACTACACCAGATTAAACTCCTGTGTTGTGGTGTCTTGTCACTTCCCAGTGCTTATCTAGAGTACACATCCTGGTGGATTCCTGTCATCTAAGCCCTCTGCTAATTTCTAGAACCACATTATTCTAGTGCAGTGCAGCATGGTATCTGTCGAAAAATACATACTCTATGGTGCTTTAAAGCTCCTCTTATTGACCAATTTGCTGGCTTAATGACCTAGTTGCAGGAATGGAACTTGGCCCTTAAGCGAAGAGTGTATGTACTGACAATAATCATCTAGAACAAGAAGCAATTTAGAAAGTTCTGTCATTGGGCTTTAGATGAACATGTGAGCTTTACATAAATATGTTTTCTTTCTTTCTTTTTTTTTTTTTTTGAGAGGTTTTTCCTATAGGGCACATGCACTCGCCAGAAAGACAGAGAGAGACAGAGAAACAGAAAGCGAGAAATCACCCCCAGGGGAAATGGTCATGCCACAATCCCTTCTCCTCCATTCTCCTCTTGGGATCCTGGGCACACATGCACATATGCCCAGCGTGAGTTTAAGGTGCTGGGTCCGGGACTCAAACTGCAGTTGATGACATGGGAGTCCAGCAACATAGCCATTTCACCAACTGCTGGTCCCATATGTGTTTTCTAAGCTACCGATGGGTTCCTTGAATACTGCATAGCATTTCTTGATCATACATAATAAGATTAGTATGTACTGGGGCCAGTTCATAGCTGGTCATTAAGGTGGCTGGATCCTACATGACTGATGGTGTGGTTTGAGTCCCAGACCCAGTGTGTGTGCATGAACACCCAAAACCCCCAAAAGAAAGAAAAAATGGAGAAGGGATTGCGGTGTGACCATCCTCCAATAGGGAGGGCTTTCTCACTTTCACATTCTCTTTCTCTCTCTCCAGTGTGTGCATGCATCCTCTGGCAAGATCAAAAAAACAAAAATTAACATGTCCTAGACCAAGAGATGCCCAAGGACTAGGACTAGGAAGGTAATCACGTGACGTAGAATTTGCTACTGTAACTTACATAAGGGCAAAAAAGTAGGAAAACAAGTCAAATACTGAAATATATCTCAAGAAATTGCCTTTTAGTATAAACTTTTTTTTTTTTTTTTTGATTGCTAGGTGAACAAAATAAACCAGAAATGTGAGGAAGAGCTGTTCTGGAATACAAACTTAATATTCTAGATCTAGCTCCACAAACAGAACTGCTACTCTACTGTCTGGTGGCACACAGGGAGGTCAAATACAGACTACACTGAGGACATACTACAAACAGTCACAGGTCCTGCCTTCTGTGTGTGAAGGGTTCTGGATGTAGAACTTGGTGGGATACCCATATGGTCTCAAGGAAAACCCATATAGACTCTAACTAAAATCAAATGAACTTTTAAAATAAAATTGTGTCAGCAAAAGGAAGAAACAAAGGGAGGAAGAAAGGAAAAAAGAAAGATACACACACAATTTAGAAAATAAATACCAATGATATAGAAAAAAATTTTTATTAAAAATAATCTAGTTTTATTTATCATTATTATTATATATTTTTAACTTGCTACAGGGCACATGCGCACTCCACAAAGAGAGACAGAGAGACAGAGAGAGAGAGAGAGTGAGAGAGCAAGCTGCCAAATCCAGTACTCAAACCACGGCTGGGGTAGAAGTCCAGTGCCTTAGCCACCATGCCACCTGCTGGCCCCAATATAAAAAAATATTTTGATCAATCTATCAACCTATATTACATTCTATATTTTACTATACATAATGGAGATTACATAAGAACTTGGAAAATGTATGCATGTGTGTGTACATTTACAAAATGTATGTTTCTAGAGAGAAAGGTTCAAATCCTGAATTGTAAATCCCAGAGATTGGCAAGCACTGCTGTCAGTTAACTGGCAAAGCCAGCCTGATTTCTAAGAGCACAAGTATGATTACTGGCGTGGTGGATTCCTGTAATCTCAGCCCACTACTACTTTCAGGAAGAGCTATGCGCTAGAAGACTGCTTCCTGTCACTGCAAACAATTCCGTTCTTCCTTTTCGGGAGCACCAGAGTTAACTGCTTACCAACATTCTATTTGCAATACAATGAGAAGAAGGAAGAAATATCTAGGCTCCTCAGTTTTCTGGTTTTAATTCTAATGCATAGTAATGCCCAGCTGTACTTCTTTCCCTTGATTCCAAGACATAATCTTTATTTCTTAGAAAACGTTTTCTTCATTTAAGCAGATTTTAGTTACTTGCAATCAAAAGAGCCTGACCAAAACAGGCAGCAGGCTTTAATTTGAAATCTAAAAGCCTGGAATGCTTAAGCAATCCATTTCTAAAGCAGAACAATGGTTTTTAAAAAGTATACTGAAATATTAAACCTCCTAATCAATGCTATTCATGAGTATCATCTATTTTGAATCACAAGAGTTTGAGCCAAAATGCATTCAGAGAAAATACATGTCATTCATGTAGAAATAATCATTCTCAATACTGCCTGTAAAATAATAATCATTCTCAAGAATGCCTGTAAAAGTAAAAACCACATTTAACTATATTTTCTGTGACAGTCGCTTTCAAACCTATTTTAGGCAACAGAAGACTTTCTTCAAATGAAATCATGCTCAATGGGAAACATAGACAGGAGGAGGTCTGTTCTGGCTGAAACATAAGCACCTGCTTGTCTAGGTGGGCTCATGCATGCATGTGTGAGCCTGCCAGCAGAAAACCCTGCCAGTGGCCAACCCTCTCCCCTGAAGAATCATCATGGAACCCCTTAGGGATATGTGAATCAGAGCTTGAAAATCACTGTGTTAGAAAAAGACAGCAACCTGCCTACATTCTACTGTTACATCAAGACACCAAATCAATTACATGTCTATTTACCTGTGAGCTTTAAAACATTTTCCGTCAACATAAATATCAATATCTGGGCAATAACGTTTCACATAAAGCTTCAGTAAATCTTCTCCTAATTCAGATGCAGGTTCCAAGTCATAAAAATCTGTAAAAAAGAAAAATAACACTAAAAAATTGTTTAAATAGTATAATACCCCCGAATTTGGTTTTCTCATAGCAAAACATATTTTTAAATAAAAAATTATTTAACTTTATTTATTATTATTTTCCAGTTTGACCAGAAAGAGAGAGAGAGTGAGAGAGAGGGAATGTGAGAAAGTAAGCTACCAGGTCTGGGACTTAAACCGCGGTTGGTCATGTGAGAATCCAGTGTCTTTTTTTTTTTTTTTAAATAGGCCACAGATTAGTTCATTTTTAACATCCATCATGCATGAATTCATAGGGAATAGGTTCCAGTAGCTCAGGCTCCTTTCCATTGGTTCTCACACAGTGTGCTTCTCTGGGTGGAGCAGGCTGGCGCTTTAGTTGAAACCAGGTTTCTTTCTCTTTGGCTTCTTTCTTTTTCTGGTCATTTTCCTTCACACACTTTAGGAAGCTATCTCTGCTCTTCGAATGCTTAGTATGCTCAATACGCACATTAATTCTCTTTGCAGAATCTTGCCCTTAACTTGTTTGTTCACAACAATGCCAACAGCATGCTGGGTAACATTGTAGACTCTTCCAGTTTTGCCATGGTAGCATTTGTGGGGCATTCCTTTTTGAACAGTACCCATTCCCTTAATGTCTACAATATCACCTTTCTTGTAGATTTGCCAGAGGAACCACTCCATGTTTTCTAAAAAGCCTAGAGAACATATATCGGGTGCCTCTCTTCTTTCCCTTTGTGTTCTTCATTTTGGTTAAGTACTGGAAGATGGCGGTTCTGGCCAAAAGGTGGAATCCAGCATCCTTAACCACTATGCCACCTGATGGCCTCATAGCAAAATGTTTTTACATATAATTATCTCAATTAGCTGGAATATGCAAGTGGTAAATTTAAAATAAAACAAAAATCTTAAATCATCTATACTCTGCTTTGAAATATGTATTTTTCCTTACTTTTAAGTATAGGTACCTACTTATATATAAACAATGCTACTATAAATTTATAAACCAAAATCGAACTCATGTCATGTGTATCTGAATTTAGAAAGGTAAAGCTAGACGTTTTTCCAATTGTGATATCCTTTTCCACTACTTAATTCCTTCCTGTTCCCAACTTCATGAACATGGCTAACATGATGTATGAAGTGGTAAATACCTGACTGAGATAACAGGTATTCTTGTGGTTTGGATCACTGTTTATCCACCACTGTTGTAGAGTTTGGAATCGGGTTTTAGTGGGTGGTAAATGGATACCCCCTAGACATGTATGTGTTGGGACTTTATTTACTGATTATATCATAAAGAGATTAGGTAAAAACTTAATTCCTTAATGATACCCCAGGGTGAGGCCTTTGGGCATGACGATGCCATCATGCAGGGCCTCTATGGTATGGCAGGTATATAAGAGCAGAGGGAATGAGAACAAAGGCAGAAAGAAGTCCCATGGATACAGATCACACTGTCTGCTAAAAGTTCTGCCTTCTACTTTTCATGATGCTTTTGGATTTTCCAGCCACCAGACTTGTAAATTATTTAAAAATAATTTTTTTTTTTGGAGAAGTTTTCGCTATAGGGCGCATGCACTTGCCAGACAGACAGAGAGAGACACAGAGACAGAAAGCGAGAAATCACCCCCCAGGGGGCATGGTCACACCGCAATCCCTTCTCCTCCATTCTCCTTTTGGGATCTTGGGCATGCACGCACACACGCCTGGCGTGAGTTTTAAGCCACCGGGTTCGGGATGCAAACCGCGGTTGACTACGTGGGAGTCCAGCGACATAGCCATTACGCTAACTGCTGGTTCCCCAGACTTGTAAATTATTAGGCTTCTATTTCTTTATAATGCATCCAGGCTCAGGTATTTCTGTTAGCCACACAGTAACGGACTAAGAACAAGTATTATTAGACCACTTACTTTGAAGTATGGTGAAATATAGAAAACAAGTGCATAGAAACCTCTCTCTGGGGACTGGCAGTTGGCCTAATGGCTATGTCATTGGACTCTCATGTAGTCAACCGCAGTTCGAGTCCTGGACCTGGTGGCTTAAACTCACGCTGGGTGTGTGTGCATGCGCGCCCAAGATCCTTAGAGAATGGAGAAGGGATTGCAGTGTGGCCATCTCCCCTGGGGGGTAATTTCTTGCTTTCTGTCTCTCTATCTCCCTCTGTCTCTCTGGCGAGCGCATGCACCCTATAGCAAAAACCTCTCCAAAACAAACAAACAAACCAAAAACCTCTCTGTTTCAAAATATTTATCATTAGGTAGTAGGAAGTAAAATATGAGATGTGCATACATAAAAAGAAAAACATACTACACAGTATATCATAGCTCATCACATGATACATACCATTGTATATCATAGTCTATATGAAAGAAAAATAGAAACTGTTAAATTAAATTGGGCCGAAGGCTCTCTCCATACTTTGTGTTCCTATGTAACAACTGCAATTTAACCTAGTACTCAACACACCAAAACCTAACTTAGAAGTGCATTTCATTGGTAACTGAGAGCCAGATCTCAGCCAATCACAGTCAACTGATCAGACTATGTCAAATAAGGTAAATGCCTACCTACAACAATCAAACTATTTCTGTATTTCACTTCTATATTCCCTCTATAAATACTGTCTGCAGAGCAGAGCTCTTTGAACCTCTTTTGGTTCTCTGATGCCTGATTCATATTCTTTGCTCAAACAAACTCAGTTAAATTTACTTTGTTTAAAGTTTCTCCTTTAACAGATGTAATGTCAAAGGTGGGATCCAAAGGAGGTCACTGATGTCCCCCAAGGAGGTCACTGATGTCCCCTAGGAGCGATGAGTAAACAGGTACAGCTATAGCCTGCTGAGTCTCTTACACCCATTGTTTCTTTTTTTTTTTTTTTTGGAGAGATTTTCACTGTAGGGAGCGTGCGCTCACCAGACAGACAGAGAGAGACATAGAGACAGAAAGCGAGAAATCACCCCCCAGGGGGGATGGTCACGCCGCAATCCCTTCTCCTCCATTCTCCTCTCAGGATCTTGGGCACACACGCACATGCGCCCGGCATGAGTTTTTAAGCCACTGGGTCCGGGACACGAACCACGGTCGACTACGTGGGAGTCCAGCGACATAGCCATTACGCTAACTGCTGGTTCCCCACCCGTTGTTTCTTGAAAAGGATTTGGACTTCATCACTGGTGAGTCTCTCTGTATCCAGACATATAATTTTTTTTTTTTTTTGCCTAGAACATGCCTACCTTAATTTGGTTTTGCCTGACTTTTCTTCTGCTTTTTCTTTTAGATTCAACTCAGAAATCTTCCCCCCCACGTAGATTTTTTTTTTTTTTGGAGAGATTTTCACTGTAGGGCGCGTGCGCTCGCCAGACAGACAGAGAGAGACATAGAGACAGAAAGCGAGAAATAACCAAGCGACATAGCCATTATGCTAACTGCCGGTTCCCCCGGCGTGAGTTTTAAGCCACCGGGTCCGGGACACTAACCGCGATCGACTACGTGGGAGTCCAGCGACATAGCCATTACGCTAACTGCTGGTTCCCCCCACGTAGATTTTTCTGGAAGCGTAAGTCCAGGTCACATATGCACTATTTGTGTCCTCCTAATGCTTTTTTTTTTTTTTTGCATAGGGCATGTGTACTTGATGGAGAGAGAGAAAGTGAGAAATTACCCCCCAAGGTCCCTTTCCTCTCAGATCCTGGGCACATGCACACATGCCTGGCATGATTTTCAAGCTGCCAGGGCCAGGACTCAAACTTCCATCAGCCATGTGGGAGTCTAAAGCCTCAACTACCATGGCCGCCTGCTGGCCCCACTTCTAACACCTTGTACATGACTTCCTTAACTATATCTTCTACTAAACTACATGACTGGAACACTATGTTGTTTTCTCTTATAGCTTTAAAATCTAGCACAAAGAAATTTATTTAGTTGGGAAAAACAAACAAACTAACTAAAAACCTAGCACAAAGCAGATATTCAATTTTAAAATGTGAGAAATGATTAGAATGGAATTCCAGGAACAAACAGCAAATGGAAAAGCAGAGAGGTGGCAAATCAGTTCTTGAAGAAATATGGTGATTCGGTATGACTATAGCTTAAGAGGTATGAGGGGGCTTTAGGAGGAGGACACAACAACATTCTATAATATATAGGAGCCAATTTACAAACTCAAAAAATCCTGATAGAAGAAATCTGAGATTTAAATTAAGGCTATGGATACCATTGAACAATTTTTTTTAAGAGAGAGATTTTTGCTACAGGGAACGTGTGCTTGTTGGAGAGACAAAGAGACAGAAAATGAGAAATCACTCCCACAGGGGATGGCCATGCCACAATCCCTTCTCATCCATTCTCCTCTTGGGGTTTTGGGCACGTGCGCATACATGCCTGGTGTGAGTTTTAAGCTGCCAGGTCCAAGATGTGAGTCATGGTCAACTATGTGGGAGACCAACAACTTAACCATTACGCCATCTGCTGGTCCAACAACTGGACAATTTTAACAAAGGGAGAACTACGATCATGCTTGTAATTTACAAAAATAAACATTCTTCTGCACAACATAAATGGAGGTTGGCACAACTACGGTCCTGGAGACTACCTTGGTTGTAAAAATCTCAAGGAAAATAACAAAGCCCTAAAATAAATGGCAGAAGGATAAATAAGAAAAATACTTATGAATATTTAGGAAATAAATCAGCAGACATGATCATTAATTGAATGAAGGCTAAGGAAGTAATTCAGTTGAAAGATGGGGCTATCATTCACATGGATAGAACATTTAAAAAACAAGCATGCTGGGAGAAGCAGACAATTAGATCAGTTGGGATGGGTTACATTTGAGATATTTCAGGTATATTTATTAATAAACAGATATGTCTAGTCAGTGGTTAGGTACAAAGCTCAAAATAATTGATAAATACATTTATTTATGTAGTAAGATAAAATATCAGTAGAGAAGATAGTGGAGGGGCCAAGAAGGAAAATCAGGAAAGCACTGTGTTGTAGAAGGTAAGAGGTTTCACAGAGAGCAGGATTGACAGAATGAAAGCTTGCAAAGAGGTTAATAAAATGTGGACAAAGTTTCTGGTAAACTGGCAACTGGGAGGTTACTGAATAAATAGTGGCACGACGGAAAAGGCAGTAAAAGGGCAGGCAGTTAAGGGGTACATGAGCTCTTTCCATTTATATTCATAACTTGTTTTGGGCCAAAGGGCTGCTGTGGGTCCACGGCAGAGCTCTAAGCCAGATGCACAGATGGACATCAAATACCAATTCTGTAAGTTGTTCTTTATGTATGGCCTTGGGAAATCCCTTATATTCTCTGGGTCTTAGGGTCCTTATCACTAAAAAAAAAAAAAAAAAAAAAAAAAAAAAAATCAATCCATAACCACTTACTTGTTAGGGTTATAAAAGATTAAAAGAGAAGGACCAGCAGATGGCATAATGGTTATGTTGCTAGACTCCCATCTGGTCAACCACAGGTTGAGCTCTGGACCCAAAGACTTGAAACTCATGCCAGGCACATTTGTGTGTGTGTGTGCCCAAAATCCCAAGAGGAGAATGGAGGAGAGGGGCCTGTGGTGTGGCTCTCCCCACATAGGGGGGTAATTTCTCACTTTCTGTCTCTCCCCATCTCTTCAGCAAGCACACATACCCTATAGCAAAAATCTCTCTCTCAAAAAAAAAAAAAAAATTAAAAGATAAAGGAGATAAAAAGATGGCATAATGGTTATGTTGCTGTACTCCCACATAGTCAACTGCAGTTCGAGTCCTGGATCAGGTGACTTAAACTCACACTGGGCAAGTGTGCAAGTACCCCAAATCCCAAGAGGAGAATGGAACAGAAGAGACTGTGGCATGGCCATCCCTCCTGGAGAATGATTTCTCACTTTCTGTCTCTCTGTCTCTCCCTGTCTCTCTGGTGAGCACACATGCTCTATAGCAAAAATCTCTCTTAAAAAATAAGATAAAAGATAAAGTATGAATGGATATATTTAAATGTCTGGAATACCTATTTATTCATTCATAATTGGATATAGTAAATGTAATATTAATGAAATCTAGGGGACCAGCAGTTGGCATAATGGCTATGTTGATGGACTCCCATGTAGTCAACCGCAGTTCGAATCCCAGACCTGGTGGCTTAAACTCACACTGGGCGTGTGTAGCGTACATGCCCAAGATCCTGAGAGGAGAATGGAGAAGGGATTGTGGCATGGCCAACCTCCTGGGAGTGATTTTTTACTTTCTGTCTCTCTGTCTCTCTCTGTCTTTCTGGCAAGTGCATGCATCCTATAGCAAAAACAAAAGCAAAAACAAAACAAAACAAAACAAAACAAAACAAAACTCTCCCCCCCAAAAAAGAAATCTAACCAAACTTGATTCAATTTGGTTTTGATTCAATTTGGTTGTTATTATAGTTGCTGCACTAAATACCAGTAATTAGATCTTTTAGTTAATAGATATTTTCGTATATAATCAATTCTGCTAAAACACTCATTTTGAAACCATGAATTTAAAACAGCACAGTTGATAAATTGGGAATAATCTGAACATAACATGAATTTTGCATTTGGTTAGTTATAATTTTGTACACAAGAAACAGTAAGTCATTGCAGAAATGCACTTGGCTGAACTAAGCCATGTATGAATAGACAAAACACATATACACATGCATACCTAGGAATTTACCAGATACTTTGGCTTACTGCATATGTTATAAGCCACACCCATCCATATCTGACATTACAAATTTACCTGATTTCAGATAAGCAACTGCTGGGACAAATATCTTTGTGTTTTTGCATGGTCTGGCCTTTCTGAGTAGAGTACGGATAAACTTGGTTAAAGGATGCCTAAATAACAAACATGCCTTGGATGACAGAGATAATGTATTACTACAAAAATATTCAGAGATTTATTTCCCCTAGAAAGAGGCCAGTCCATACACTCCAAGTTAGTGAAACTAGTCTTTTCTTTCCTTCCCAGAAAAGATTTACTTACCTTCCAAAGTAAAGATCTCTCCTGAGGTGGAAGAGGGGAATGGGCAGATCTTCAAAAAGTCCATAAAACTTAAGGGTTTCCTAGTTTTGATGTTCCTTTCCTGTGATGCAATCCCACTCCACAGGCAGAGTAACATCAGGCCCTCACTGCATTGCCTCATGGGGCTTGGGGGCTGAGAACTGGCACTGAGATGCTCTGTGAATAATAGATTGTCTGTTTTCTCATCCAGAGAGCTCAGGTTTCTTGTAAGAACCTATCCATATCTAGCTATCTATAATATATGTACTTAATATCATTCTTCTCCCTATTTATAATAACTCAAGAGCTACACCCTTCTGGCATCCACTTCCAAAGCAACCTCCAGGTTTTTTACAAGGTAAAATGCTAAATGTATTATAGTATTTATATATTTCTTAGTCATTTAACATGTGTAAATCTAGGTTACTGTTTTTATTAGGTTGCTAATAAATAATCTTTTTAAATGTATCATGATACAGTTTTGTTATAACAGCAATTTTTGTGTTGCATGGTGTTTCTTAAGGAATGTATATTTTGTGTTAGAATTGACTCTACAGTCTGCTAAAGCTTCTTAATTGATATAAAAGGTTGTCAGGAAAGTCATGATGTATTT